AACAGTATTGGTGAAATTGTATGACAAAGTGGAAAATATTTACTTCTGATGGATTTCATCCTTCAGGACTTCATCAGACTAAACTGCTTATATTGGTAGGATTACACATATGAATGACAAAGGGGTGCTGATAATTTTAGAATTATTTTTTTTTTATCTAGCTGAATTTATTTAGAGAGTTTTTTTTTTTTTTTGTTTTTTCCGCATTTTTGTAAATAGTTATTACACATTGTGATATTAGAAGATCTGTCAGGAATGGTGAAATGTTGTATGAGTCAGGGTACAAAATTTACTGTAGATGTATAGCAAGGGAGACATTGAGGAAGAGGTGAAAGCAAAAAAAAAACAGAAAGATAGAATTACTGGTCGGATAGCAAGAGACTATGATCAAAATTTGAAGTGTAAGAAGAGATGGAAAGGTGCAAGAATTATGCTCCATGTATTTTCTTTATGATAAAAGCAAAAAGGATAAAATAAAGGAAACAGTTAAAAATGTCTGTACATTCTTTATTCTTTTATTTATATGTGAAAGTAATCCATGTTTTTATAATGATAAAATACTAGATTATCAATGAAGATTAAATTGATTGTCTGTTTAATGGCATATCATATTATGGTCCATTTTATGCCAACATTTAATTTTCTTCAGAGCTTGCAAGTAATAAAAATATGATATATATTTATTCTGCCCTCACAATTGAATATGTGGTAAATGTAACTCAGCTTTTCTGGCTATACATGTTTGTGTGGACATTACTAGAAGTGGTTTTGTATGTTTTATGTTGTGGTTTTTTGAAGTTAAATTTAAGAAATTCTTGGATATTAATGTCATGAAAGGTCTTTTATGTTGGTTGTTTGGTAGAATTTTAAACAGATTTGGGTGAAGTCGCTATTAATTTCTTAATATGTGTGTGTTGTTGGTAATTTTTGATATAAAAATGTATTGCTGGTATTTTTACTATAAAAATGTATTTTTATACCTTCATACTGTTTAGTTTTTGTTTGGGGGTTTACTATTTACCCATAGCTGGGTCCCTAACAGGTTCTGCCACCCCAGGTTAGTGTGGACCTGAGAACAACTGCATTTATGAGGTGGTTCTACATTCCTCAAAATCTCTAATCTCTCAATCAGGGGCATTGTTGCTGGATGTAGTTTATTGACATATGAGAGCATAGATGAGAAAACAACTAATGTTATCATTACAGTTATTCAGACTTTAAATTAAACAAGTGAGAAACAAGAAATAGATTTCAACTCTGATACCAAATAAGCTTATTTGTAATGAACACCAAGTTACACCTTTTGTTTCACATAACTGTCTGGTTTTTATCTTTCATCTCCTGGCTACCGTCTCTTTGTTTTTCTAATATAATTTAACAACTAATGAATAGATCAACTAAAAATACTATGATAAAATGCAACAAATTACTATATTTCAAGGCATATAAGACCTGCCCATCTATATTTAATATTACAGAATTCCGGAATTAGGTTAAACACAAGTACTGGAAGTTTTCAGTGTCTGGGTAAATATTTGCCTACTAAATACCCAGTGGAGCCATCCTATCAGTTCACACCAGTTTGCACAAACCAATTCTTAAAATTATAAAAGCTTACCAAACCAGTTGTTGGATTATCCAAAAATAATCTTATATATTAATAGCTGATATATAACAATTAAAAATATAATTAATACCATTGATGTAAGTTCTGTGGAGGCTGAAAGAGGATTTTCTGTGATGAAAATAATTTATTTTGACAAAAGAAATTGTCTTAGAATTAAAAATGTGACAAATCTTGTAGTCATAAATTTAAGAGGTCTTCTAGTGGCTAAGAAACCATGACACAACTAATGACACTAGAATCAAAAAACATCTGACTTTTGAACAGAATTTCAATCTGGAAATATCTTAATAAATAAATGTTTTCTAATAAATTATCAAAATGGTTTAATTCTTTTTGGTATTATAAAGAGATTTGTTTCGATTCTCAGATTAAGAAGAAAATAAGCAGAATAGATTACTAAAGATTACCTCTCTTTATAGAACCAGTTCCTGGAAATTTGAGATGCCATTATTGTAAGTACCTCAAATTTATATAGAGGATTAGGGAGATATTTTCGTGGGCACAAAAGGTATTTGTATACTGTTAAATATGGTAGATAAAGAATATGAGTTTAAAATATGTGTAAAATAAAGAGAAATACTTCATTTCACAATCTTAAAACATTACAGTAATTAAAAGGGGAAAGAGGAAAACTTCAACTATAGTAGTGGTACATACAAAAAAGAAAATTTTAAGAATCGGTTTGTGTGAACTAGTGTGAACTGGTAGGATGGCTCCACTTGGTATTTAGTAGGCAAATGTTTACTCAGACACTGAAGACTTCCAGTACTTGTGTTTAGCCTAATTTTTGAAATTCTAATATATTAAATGCTTAGATATGGCATAAGGCTAAAAGTATGGGGTACCCAGTGAGGATCAAACTCACTACTCAGTTGTAATTGTTCTAGTGAGACAAGTTTGCTAACCATTACACCACCTCGAGGTGCCCTTTTTTCAAGAGTAGCCTAGATGTGGCACAAGGCCGAAAGTATGGAGCACCCTGTGAGGATCAAACTCACTACTCAGTTGTAACTGTTCTAGTGAGACAAGCTTGTTAACCATTACTCCATTCCATATCGAGGTGCTCATAAAGATCTTTAAATCTTAAAACAACTTAAAAGAATTACTACTATTTGTAATTACCTAACAAAGGAATAAGAAAAGCAAAAAATTATAGAGGTAAGGACAGTTAAAAATAATCATTACTTCTTTTATAGACCTGGGGAAAAACACTTCCAAGAGATAGAATACAAGCAGTGGCAGATCTACATTATTAGGGCCCAAAAGATTGAATGTGGGAGCCACTTCGCAACCAGCAACCATAGATTCAAGAATCCAACTGCCAAAATATAGGCATTGCTAAGATTCTGGTAAGCTCAGCTAGCCCATACAGCTAGGAATTCAGATACTGCAAGCCACCAAGAAAATTTTGAAATTTGACCAATTATAGGGGGAATTTTGAGGGCATGGGTTTTGAGAACATATTCTAAGGCCAACATTAGCTACTTCAACCCATTGGTTTATGATTCTGTCACTAAAATAGCCCTATTTAAATGACTAACATTCAAAAAAAAATCATTGTTTAAAAATCCATTCATTAAAAAAAGTTACTTCATGAGTCTTTTTGTGATTAGGGGCCCTGAAGTTTATGCTTCATTAGTTTCAATCCACCACTGAACAGAAGTAAAACTCAAATATAGTATGTAACCCACCTTAGTGGATGCCAAAATAGACTTTGCACTTAGTGTCCATTAGAGTAGCCAGGTTCATGAGCATTGATCTGCAAGATACTTTTCTAAACACCAGCTCATCAACTGGGATCTAGAATAAAAGCAATGGCAGTAAATATATGCATTCTGTTTCCACAAATTCTGATGTTAAGTAATACTTAACTCGTCCAATGTTTATATTCTTCTTTTTATATGGTTAATACTTTCCTGAGTAGATGAGCAGTTTAAAACAATGTAATCTTTTGAATCTTTTGTAAACATGGACTATCAGAAATCTCATTTAATCTTACCTCTACCTTTTTTTATCATACCTAGAGCTCCAATTTTTATTAAAATAACACTAATTTTAAAGTGTCACATTCATTTCAATTTCAAGATCTTTATATTTATTTATTTTGTTATATTCTTGAACAAATATATTTTTATCTAATGTTGCTGACATATCTATGAAAAGGCATTTCTTATGTTTTTTCCCTGTCTGGTCTATGAACTTTTATATATTTTTCAGTATATTTTAGTATTTCATTTCTAAGATAAGTAATTGTCAGTATTCTTTTATTATTTCCAATTAGTGTTCTCATCAACATTTTGAGCATGTTCCCTCTGGTCATCATCATGTGTCCATTGGTTGGCTGATATATCTGCTGATTATTGCAATATTTTGTCCCTGTGATATCACTTATTGTCCCTCCTTCCTGAATTGATAAGTCACTACCAGATCCAAGGATTGAATTTATGAACACGAGAAGACTGTAACATAACCAACTCATATATTCTCTACACCACCATCTCGAAGGATATTGGTGTTGTGTTTTTGAAGCCTCTTATGATGGTGGGTTTGTACTGCTTTTTATAATTTAGTATTTCATTTCTGAGACAAGTAATTGTTAATATTCTTGAATTATTTCAAACTATTGTCCTCATCTTGGTTAATATAGATTGATTGATCAATTCTCAATGAATCAATTGCATCTGTAATAAGGTAATCCTCTTGTTAGTATCAATATTGACAAGTGAACAAATGAAACATTTTCAATATGGCTGCCAGCATTTTATAGAAGCGACCACCTGGTGGCACTATGCAACAACTACAAGGCAAGGTCAATCACTACAACATTAACAGAGATATTATTATAGACACAACATTTCAGTATGAATGGTAAAGTCCCAAAGAATCAAAGAATAGTGAATTCATGGCTTCTATGACTGGTTCAGAGTGATATTCATACAATTTTTAAGCACATGGTTCACTGTTATATTGACATTTTTTTAGTCATTTTACCCCAAGAAAGAAAATAAAGCCACTAAGATGTAAGAGGCTTCTTGAGTGTGAAAGAATATGAAAAAAAGAAAAACTTTATTAAGGAGTGTGAATGATAAAAGAACAGAAATTAAGAAGATGGAAGATGATGATAGACATTGCATTTAAATTTTTGAAGACCAAAGTTGACTGGAAAGCAAGAAGCCAGAAGTGAGTTCCACAAGCGAAGTGTGAAAGAAGGAACATAACATAGAACTTATGCTAACATCCAACCATTTCAACTGTAAAATGATGCGACCTAACTGCCAATCTAGTACTGCACTTAAATTCATAAAGTTTCAGTACCAGTATCTTTCAATGTAATCATTATAATTATCAGTTGTAATAGTAGTAGTAGTGCTTCTGGCTGTACCACATTGAAAAACTGGTTCTCGTCCAATCACCAAAGTTAAGCAACATTGAGCCTGTTCATTACTCAGATGGGTGACCACTGGAGAATATCAAGTGCTGCAAGCTACAAAACAGGCCTAGCAAGCTAGCAATGGATAAAGTCTCACTTCTCCTTTATATGCCATGTCCCTTCAGGACCTAGACGATCATGGCTTTCCACAACTTCCTATCCCTTGTAACTCTTAATAAATCTTTTCTGTTATTTCTTCCAATCCATGTTCTGCCATCCATTTACTCAATGGCATTAAGTATATTATACTTCTTCCTCTGTCCGTCTTGCCCCTATCAGTCCTGTGAGTATTAGATTTTCCAAGCCCTCTTTCCTCATTATGCGTCCCAGAAACCTCAACTGTCTCTTCCTGATGTTAAATATTATTTTCCTTTTAGTTTCCACTTTCTCCAAAACTTTGTCGTTACTCACTACTCATACCAACAGAAGACCTTGCTATGTGAAAGTACTTTGTGACTGACAGGTTGTAAAGCCAACCTGGAGTTGGGTGAGTGAGCAGTAGCAGCAGTAGTAGTAGCATTAGTAGTGGCTTCCAATAAAGGTCAAGAATCAGGGTATTACATTTTTCTGAATTCTTACAGTTTAATTTAAATCACCAAACAATAGCTCTTTAAAAGGTTCAGTATAAAGCAACAAAATAGATGGGAAATACAAGTCAAAAAACTTCTTCTTACCTTCTCACCCAATTCCAGGTAGATATTGCGACCTGTCCGTCAGGTGTGGGGGGGGACATTCACATATTGAGGTCTTCTGTTAGTGTAAATAGCGAGATTGTATCCAGGGTTCCCTAGCAACAAACTATCTGAGCACTGACCAGGCTCAGCATTGCTTAACTTTGATGATCAAATGAGAACCTGTGTTTCAAAGTGATATGACTGTATCTAAAAAAAGAAAGTAGCAATAATTTACATAATAATTGAAATAACACTTGGTAACTATATTCTCAAAAGGAAAACTGTCATTTTGCTTAGGTACACACACACGCCTCTCTCCCCCCCCCAATAATTGCCCAAAAAGTACTGCCTCCTATTTTATCATATTAGCCCATAATGTCAGAAGGGGATACTAATGGTGTATTAATAGAGGGTGACTCTTCTAACTAATAATCTTTAATTTGTTGATCTGTTACTGATAACTGCTGAGCAACAGTCTGTATATACAAAGTAGATATGTAGCAGTGAATTTCTCCGTGCAAATTAAATGTACCAACTGACATTGATGTTTTTTTCATACTGATATTCACCCAATACAAAGCCCAAGTGCCACTCAAGGTAGAGTGTTACTGAATAAAGTTGTTGTAAGGGTATAAAGGGAGGAAGTAAGAAGGGTATATTATGAGGATATGTAGGATAGATAACAGTTGATTCTGGACTTGACATGGTTAAGATTGTAATAATTAGGTAAGCATCTTCTCAAGAGTCTCTTCTGTGAAGTAACAGTTCAAAGAAAGAATCTGAGTGAGACTTCTTCCTTACAAATGGATTATGAAGAGAATGTGGATGAGTTTACCCTGTGTATATGGAAAAGTGGGTCCTAGCTGTATGAAATGTTGAAACTAAGAAATATAACTCATCTGAATATTTGACATGAAAATAGTGAGAGAGTAACAAGAAGCTAGAAATATTTTGTCTGTGGGGAAAAGGGTTGTAGGGTGGGAAATAATTCATCAACCACAAAGCTGCATAAATAGTTTTGAACTTTCCTATAACTGGAAAGTAACGAGTGGGCAGCTCCAGCTTAGATATGATAGTAATACTCCATTTTTGGTTTAATCCAGGCATGGGCAGCATTTTCTGATCAGTGGCCTGCAGCTTATCATAAGGCAGGCAGCACTAATAGTAAAAAATCAAAGTAAATTTTTGTTGAAAGTAAAGTGGCCATTTTCACTACTGAAGACTATATGTGTAAGCATCTGATTTAGGAATGTGGAAGATGTTGGTATCTTTTATTTGGAGAAAATATTTTTTCTACAATTTAAAACTTGAAGATTTTGTATAATATTATCACACTGATGACACTGTGATTAACACATGCCTCTGCAGGTGATTTATTTTTAATTTATTCATTTGAAAATACAAAAAAAAACTTTTTAAAAATAAAAACTTATTACTTCTCAAGAGAAAAAAAATTAATGTCAACATTTCTCGTTTCTAAAGTAAAATATTTTGACACGTATGACTTTTTTTTAACTGTCTCTATTTCTGAGATGAGTCATTATGTACACTATTTACATTATTCGGACTATTGTCCTCATATTTGTCGCCATATTTATTACAACGTTTCAGCCCTTCAATATCTGTCTATATTTCTAAAATGAGGTATTATGTACACTATTTACATTATTCGGATTATTGTCCTAATCTTTGTCGCCATACTTATTACAATGTTTCGGCCCTTTAGTATTTGTCTATATTTCTGAGATGAGGTATTATGTACACTATTTACATTATTTGGACTATTGTCCTCATATTTGTTGTCATATTTATTACGTTTTGGCCGTTGTATGCTCCAGCCTTCTTCAGGTGGTTGGAATTTATTTTGCACACTAGGGTAAACTGTTCTAGTTTCACATGCCATGTTTAATGGATGTCAGTTGTCAGTTATCTCCTGTTAATTTCCCTCTGAAAGTTCTCCACTGCCTATTGGGTATTGAACTTACAATCTTTGGGTCCTGTCACTGGATTTAACTAACGCCTTTATCCACTGAGCCATGTGTCCTTGAGGATATCACTTTTTTTGACAAAAATCGCCAGTGATTTAAAATGCTGGGATAGTTTCCTTCTACAAAAGGTTATAAAATTCAAGAAACATCAGACAATCATTGTTATGTATGTGGTTTTGTCTATCAGTACCCGCAACACAACTAGTATTAATAAATAAGGAGGTTACTCATATATATAATAGTTATTTTTTTTTTTTGACGCAAGTTAATCTCAACCTTTTTGAGAGAGAATGTGGGTGCTATTGAAAGAAAACAAAATTTTAATAAGCATTATTTTCTTCTTTAAATTAGATGTTCCATTCAGAATGTCAAACAGGCCACATCTGGCTGATAGGCTGCAGTTTGCCAACGGCTGGTCTAGTCTGACTTTACTAAAGATAGTAGTGAGGTACTTTCTGGAGTAGTACAAGGAACCAGGCATTTTTCCAGCAATACCTGATTGGCAGTTAGGTCTCATAATTTAATTTTCAAATTGCTAGGTGTAACTGCAATTTCTATGCTAATACTTTCTTCTCTCATATTTCAGATGCATGGAACTCTCTTATAGCTTTCTAATGTCCTGTAAACTACAATCTTCAAAATTTTAAATGTAATGTGAATAATCATCTTCTGTCTCCTTGAGTCCTTTTTCTTTTATTATCCTCTTTCTATTTCTTTCACTCACAGTAACCCCTAGCATGTATTTTATCACCTTGCTTGAGGGTGACATGATTCAAAAATAAATAAAAATGGTTTCATCCTCAATGCTAGAAAATGAGCCTACAAAGTCCACAGGTTCAAAAAAAGTAGACACCACAACCGCCAACAGCACTTTTGATAACAAAAGCATAAAATTCATAAGGTTATCTCCCAACACTATATAAACAAAATTTGAAAATAAAGTAGTTATCCTCAACACTAGAATTATTACTACCATAATCAGAGATATAGTTAGGAAGAAAAAGATCTACACCACATCAGATACCAGGATTTATGAAATAAAGTTCCTGCAATGCAGGAAAAGTTACACTGGTGAAACATCTAGGAATCAAAAAGCACACATCTACAAACATAAGAGAAACCTTGGTTGGGACAACTCTTTAAGCTTGTTTGTAATATACAGGAACAAAACTGGCCATAACTTTGATTTTATAAATACTATCCTAATTAAAAAAAAAAGAACATAATACTTTGAGGAAGGTCTTATGAATATTTTACAGCTATAAACAGATGTCAAACACATTTTATTATATCACCAACTTTTAGAGAATCCATACTTAAATAACCTAAGATATGTCTGCCTACTACTACAACAGGTGTTACATCATTTTTATCCTCACACAAAATGTCTCCTAATCAACTTGTGAACAACCACCCAACATAAATAAAAAATGCCTACATGCATACACAAACGAATTTACATTATCATCCAAATCCCACATAGATTAGAATAATGATACACTTCAGTTATGTGCCATGCGTGATACACACTTAGGCAATCATGTATCTTTCGATACATGACTGACGAGGCAAATTTTTTCCCGCAGTAGGTTGGCATTTCTTTCTGCAGTAGACCAGGTGCCATCCAAGGCTAGAGAACCTGGTCTGTCCTAATATTTACCCATAGCTGGGGGAGAAGAAGAGGATTCATACCTTTTCCCAAGGTAAGTGAATGTAATGGATTTGAATGGAATTCAAACTCAGCTCTCCAATTCTTCAATCTGAGCCACTATCCATTACTCCACCGTATGAATTCTACACACAATCAATGCTTGACAAGACAGATGCATGTGAAGTTTTCCTGATCAATGAAAAACAAACAACACAAAAATTAAAAATACCAGAAATTTTTCTCTTTATTTTTCTCTTTCATATTTCATTCTAGATTTATAAACCTTTCCTATTTGTTCCTTATCCTGTCATAAAGAGAGTCATATATATATATATATATATATATATATATATATATATATATATATATATGAGTTCCACTTGGGGTCTGGAGTGAGCTTACATCCCAATAAAGAGTCAAGGCAGGGAGCCTCATTGAGAGAGCAACAGTTTATCATGGCTAGAGAAAATTCAAGGTCTACTCAGTAATGATGAAACATTATTAACTTGGTTTTAGAAGTATTGAATGTTACAAGCCAGTCTTTCCACCATTGAGCTGTGAGGGCTAGGTCAGAAATCAGTTGCCAGGCTCTGGTCATTTAGGTTTTTGGGGTGCACCCATAAACCGTGGTATTGTCTGCATATATATTTACAAATGAGCTGAGAAAGTTGTAAGGCAGATTCTTAATATAAAGAAGAAAAGAAAGTAGGACTGAACAGAGAGTCTTTGATCACATGAGCT